GCATATTCTGATCATGAATGAGTAGACCATTATTCAAATTTTTATTCATCGACCCAAATTTTACGTCGTTATGCAATGTTAAGTATTTTGTTAAGGTTGAGCTCCTCTATTCATTACTTTTATAAGCGAAATGATTTGGAAACTTTTAGGTCGAATATTCTCATTGTACTTCGTATAGCCTTTAGCATAAAAAAATAGCATCTACACACACGTTTATGATGAATACAATTCAATGTAAATGTCCACCAATGTAATTCCATTTTTGGCGAATAATGAATACAAAAGAACTGTGGCCAATGGCCGTTAATAAAACTCTATAGAACTTATTTTGGAATACTGTTAATTCTCATTGCTTCTCTAAATAAAGCAGGCATGTACGATAAATATTGAATGAAGATTGGAATTAAGGACAAATTTATTTTATATCTAAAAGGGTAGTTAAGTTCTAATAATTTGATCATTTGCTTTACATTCGGGGCTGATAAAAAAAGTGATTTGTTTTGAACTTAAAGATTCACATGCGATGGAATATTACACATTTTTTTCAAACACGCATAAGCAAGCAATACAGTGATATAGAGCATAAGCAGAGCAATGCTATAATCTTACATAATTACAAAATAAACAATCGTTATTATAATAACATAAGTTGGGGAGATATACTTGTGATTAAGGTTACTATTTAAATCCACAATGTTATCGTTCATTAGTGTCATACAATGTTTTACATTGATTTCACTTGCTTATAGTTACATTCATCACAGGCATTTTTTTCCAATTAAAGTATCTCTCAATCACATTTTAGAACAAACTTGTCAGTCCTACATACTCCTTTTTTCTGAAATATGCGTAACGTTTGTGATAACAAACGCTCTCAGGACATTAGTATAAAAGCTAGAGGTGGGAACACTCGTAGAGTTGTAACTTTCTACACGCAGTCCGTTCATTTGGTTGCGAAGAGAGGCTCGAAGCGTCAAGAAAGAAAGCCCGAGAAGCAGCCCCAAAAGACACGTGCCGACAACAAGAGAGCGCGTCTCATTAGAGGAACAGTAGGTTTGGAAAGTTGCGAAGGAAGAAGGCAGGGTGTTCTTTGGCTAATTTTTGTTACTTCCGAAATTGAATTCACATAATTTCTGCCTCTTAAATAAAGCCATGAACGCTATTTAGAATTAAAATATTACGGAATATAATTCAATATATCCCAATATAAGAACTGAGTGGCGAAAAACTTGGTAACTCTCCCCACACAAATAGATGAGAAAAGCGCAGAATACCACAAGCGCCGTAATTAAATAATTGAAGGTCAAATATTCGTTCAAAAAAAAGGAAAACCAGGAGAACTTTCGGAGACAATGGAGATTCGCCGTCACTCACAGCTCAGCGGTCCACTTTTTGAAAAGCGCAGATTTGTTAAACACTTTATTGAACACATAATTGAGATTAATTTAATTCACTTTACATTTTTTAACTGATACACATTTGTTTATATTTAATAGTGTGTATCATCTAGATGGGGCTAAGATTATTGCATTTACTTTATCGTGAACATCCTTTCTCGAACTTCATTTTTATTTTACTACTCTATTTTTCAAAAAAATATTTTTTTCTGCCATAACTACCATTGTTATTCAAAATGAACCAACGATCATTAGTCTCTTCGATAAAACAAAATCAATGATACGAAATGAAAGACCGCTAGTGGGAAAATAATGTAATTGGTGACATTTGAGTTTGTCGTAGTCTTTATCTGCTCTGAAGTCTTGGCTGACATTTCTTTGAATTGACATTTGAAATCCTTTAAGAGATGAAACCACAACTAAACTCGAACTCCATCAAATCGTTTGACTACCTTCACTAAGAACTTTCCTTTCAACGAGAACTTCATTTTCTCGTAATACATATTTCGTAGTACTTGTGGCATTTCCCTAACTAACTGGTTATTGCTTGAGTCAACGGGTTCTCGGAAATACCTTATTGGCAAACTCATTCTACATACAATTATTGGCAAATACATTCTACATTTCGTGTCTACGAGTTTTGATTGTTTATGTGAAATATAAATTTCATGAATATTGAAACAAGCATTTAAGCAGCATTTATTTATTTACAAGTTGCTAAAAGTAACATCATGAAGGTATATTGAAAACGTTTCTAACATTAATTTTTTGAGTTCAAGTCAATTTTCAATACGAGTAGTGAGTTCAGCAAATAATTTCATAATTTGTACTGATCGTTGGGTGAAAAGATTGTCTACAGAAATATTTTCTGATCTTTTTACTACTCTTTTCTCATTCTCAGAAATTAGGGGATTTCTATCTAATGTGTATCTTATTGTAAGTTATATCTTATGATACAAAGTTCGATATTTTTCTTAAATTGTCCATCTAAAATTTAGGTATGTTCTTGTTCTGTCACGACTGTCGAATAAACGTACTTGTTAAATGTACTAAATTAACTCTACATGAACAATTCGCTACATCGTAGAGCAACTGTTAAGCAATGAATTTCAAACAGCGCCCGCTCACCTGTCACTCCATCCTTTCCTGTCACTTGTTCGGGAGTAGCCTATTAATTCAGAGGAAATTCCGAGACGAAATTAACTTAACCAGTGGAGAGAAAGTGTTGCAGAGGTATCTCGTCAGCACCATAAATAATATTCCATAAATAATATTAGGAACTAGTTCTAACTTCGAAACGTTCTAACTTCGAAACGTCGGCAAACTAATGCAGTCGAATTTGTGGACCAAATTCCATTAGCAACGTTATGCATTGTACTAATGATGGTCGTGAAACACAGAAAATTAGCAAAGTCATTCATATGTGAATTTTCGGAATTTTTACAAAACGGGTTTATGACAGGTCTGTGGGTGACCTCAAAATCAATATAATCGAATTTTGTCATCGAAATTACATTACTTTTCAAAATTTCGAAAACCTATATTAGAAGAGCCGTATTTTTACTTTCTCGCTACGGAGTACACAAAAGTTATGTAATGCTGCGCAGAAAAACTCTAATTACAGGGCTCTAGTAATGAAAAAGTGGAAAAATCCAGTTGTTAAATTAAAAAAAGTCCTCAATCACGAAGTATAATTGTGGGTTCTTGATTCCGAAAAATCGAATGACGTGGTAAAAAGTATTTTAAAAGTCTGTTCGTTCGTCTGTGAACATCGCTAGCGGCTAAACCGTTCAACCGATTTTCTCCAATCTTGATATTCCCCAACCGATCCGGCTGATGTCGCGGCCCCTTGATTTTAAAACCGATATTTTGATTTTGAAGGTTACTTTACTTGAAGCCTCTGGGACATTTACCAATTTTCATTATCAAAAAATGGCTTCATCGTTTTTGATTCAATTTTGTTGTCGGATAGTGTGAAGGACGTTTAAGAGTATGGTGCAGGTCTCATGTTTATTGCTAACTCTGATTTTTCGAAAAATGCAAAAGTTCAAAAGCTTTTTGAAGCCATCATACAGTTAAAATATTAAATATATAGATTTTCTCTTAATAAAATGTGTTTCTTAAATATAGATTTTAAAAGAAGCTCATTTACAATGTTTCGAAAATTTGAGTACTTTTATAGTAAAGTATATCAACGGTTCGTTTAGCGAAACAAATACGTTTTCTATTACTCGGAAACAATTGTTTCTAGTGTTCAAATGTTGCCAACGTTACTAGTTAGAACCTTTAATCATAATCAACTAGATATGACAAAAGAATGGGGTAGGGACTCTAAATCTCAAGGAAACTTCGCAGAATATACTTCTCTCCTATTCGTCATAAAGTTGTTCCTGTTTTCAACAACAAATAAATTTTAAAAAAATCATGAACAAATACGTTATTCTCCTCGACGATTTCATGACCTGCTATGATCTGAAGTTTAACTAGTTTGGTAGAAATAGAACAATTTAATACTACAAGATTGAACCGTACACAGGAGGAATGTATGAGTACACATAGCCACGCTGAAGGTGGGACCCACTATATTTCAAACCGAGATAGCTAGATGACGATTAAGCTTCTTGAATGCTTCAGAACCGCGCTGTTTTTTTTTTCACCTTAACCTTCTAACAGGTCGCCAGCTCGCCCACGTACTCAACGTAATCAAATGTGTGACTGTGCCGAGGCGCCTCAGTAGAAATTGAAAAACCCGCACCTCCACTTTCTTTCTTTCATATTTTTTTTTTTTTGTTTCTTCTTCTCTTTGTCTTTCGTTCATCTTCTCCTTCTCTTTCGATCTTCTTCTCTTCGATTCTTCTTCACCTTTTTCTTTCTCTTTCACCCCTTCTTTCGTTCATCTTCTCCTTCTCTTTCGTTCATCGCCTCCTTCTCTTCGATTCATCTTCTCCTTCTCTTTCGTTCATCTCTTTTTTTACTTTCTTCCGCAACCACTTTAACATCTCGTCTATCGCGCCCACGCACCCAACGCAATCCAATGTGTGTGTGCGTGTGCGGCGAGGCACCGCGCCGCGGTGGGATCTGAGCCGCTCGCACCTGCCGCCTCCTCCTCCTCCTCTTTCTCCTCTTGCGCGTCTGCGACGGCGGCGGCGGCGGTGGCGGTGGCGGCGGACGCGCGAAACGCGCGGGGTCCCGCAGCCAATGGACGCGGCGCGGCGCCTGCTGGCTGGCCGCGCTCCCACCCCGATTAGCCGCCAGCCAGAGGGGGCGGCCGGCGAAGCGCCGCCGTAACGCGCGCCATCCATTTGGCCGCGCGCGTCCGTGCGAAGGCACCGGCCGACATTGCCGCGCCTGCAGCGAGAGCACCCTCTTTGATACGAATTAAAGATGAGACGAAGAGACAGCGCCGGGGAGGGGGGGTGTTACGGGAGTGGAATGAATAGGGGATTTAGGCTTCCATGTACTAATGAGCTGTTTGAGCGGCGGCAGGCGGCGCAGGGCGGCGGCGGGCGGAGAGGCCAAGCGCGGTAGCGGCGCCGGGGCGGAGGGGGAGGGAGGGCCAGGCGGTAATTGTGTCGCGCCGCGCCGGGGGGCGCGGGTGTGTGGGAGGGGGTTGCGGCGCAGAGGAGCACGGCGTCGGCGGACCCTCAGTCCGGGACCGCCACGAGCGTAGACGGGCCGCCCCGAGGGACGTCCCGGAGAGAAGATGATGGACAGAGCGCGGCAGCAGCAGCAGCAGCCCCAGCAGCAGCAGCGGCAGGCGTCGCCTGTGCCTGGGCCCCCGCCGCCGCTGACACCGCCGTCGCTGGCCACGGAGGAGCCGGCGCGGCCGCGCGGCGTGTACAGCATCGACCAGATCCTGGGCACCGTGGCGCGCGCCGACGACGCCAAGGAAGGAGCGGGTGAGTCACAGGGCGCGCCGCCCGCACCGTGCGTGGGCCGTGACGTACACCGAGATCGCGCGTCAGTGTCTAGGCCAAGCGCGGCACGGTGTGGATTTCTGTTGACGGGATGACACCGCCACCTGCATGCCAGAACCGGACTGGACAGACGCTAAAATGAAGACTGTTGGTTAAGTGCATTCGTTTCCGATGATTTACGTTCTTCGAGGACCAGAACCGTGCGTCTTTCATCCTGGTGAATGATAGCGTCATGTTGTCTCACTAGATACGATTCAATAGTGAATGTCACAGTTTTGGGATTGTGTAGATGCATGTTTGTGGCATACAGGTGACAGTTATCTGCGTTTTTGACAGAAATCTTACATTTTGAAAGACGTATGTAGTTGGAAATTTACCGTTTACATATTTAAAGACTGTCAACACAACATATCCTTCGAGAACGGTTAAAATTTTAAAATATATGAGTATAAGTTGGATACCAATGATTTAATTACATTTAATTTCAGGAGAAAATGTTGAATAACTTATTTCACTTAGATGTTCGTAAATAAGCATTAAATTACTGGAACTGTACCGACATTCAAACAGCGTAAATTTTTAAGGAAATGTATGTTTATATATGTGCAACACGGTTTGAGAATTCAAAATTATAAGTGTTTTGTGCGGTTTAGGTAACGACTTACTGTCCGTTTTCGTAAATTACATGTTACAGTCCGTTTTCGTAAATCAGTAACCGAGAAAGAAAGAGTGGACCGTTTTACACGTGATCTTTTCAGAGTTGTTAATATTCACTGCAAACATTTGCATGAATACGATAATATTGTGAACTTTTCTGCAACATTATGATGAAACATTCGGTTAAAGTGCTAGTTTATCTGTTTAGTTATTTTAACCAGTTTTGGAATTGTGATAATCATTTTATGTTTGCAGTTTGCAAATACAGTGTAAATGTGTAAAATTGTTCAAATTCAATAGACAAAATGTGGGGCTTCCTTGTGATCAGAGGCAACCACTGTAAAATAATTATTTTTACTGTTTTATATCACGTGGTCGAATAATAAAATGTAGGCAATATTACTGTTTGTAACTTAAGGATTTCATCATCAATTGTTCAGAGATTTCTTCTATCTCATTCTTGACTTTTCTTCTTTGTGACTTAATCGACTTTTTTAGTTCAATAAACTAGTGTTAACTAATTGGCTTTTTCTTTTAAGCCTAGAAGCTGTTCTGCTCGATTCGCCACGTTTTTAACGACTCGAAACCATAAAATCACGAAGAAAACAATGTAAGGGAAGATACAAGAACAAAAAAATATCATGTCACATATATCCATCTGTGTTTCAGTCTGTTTCTGAATGAGAGGGATAATGAAAGACATTTGTACTCGGCAAAAGAATCATTCCATGCATATTTGTATTCTAATTCCTTCTTGTAAAGAAAAATACATTGTATGTTGTCTCCATTAAACTCATTTGCCTAAAATTGAACTCACAAACTCGAGCCTTTAATACACTCATTATGCGAGGAATTCCTACTAAAATGTGTTACCTATCTTGTTTCTACTACTCGCACGTTTAATTTCTGCTCTAGTGAATGTTGTGAATTGCTTTAATAGGGTAGAATACAATTGACTTTAGTAAGCATTCGTATTCTGAGTGAAAGTGTCTCTGGAATTGCCTGATTTACTGGAAAATCACTGCATAAAAATTACTATTTACTTAGAAATAAAACAACTCTGTCATTAAAGTTTGAGTGTTCATTTATGAATAATCAGTGAAGATAGGAATTATTGTAATAATAGTTTAAGGTCCTTCAAAAAATTACAATTCGTTTAGTAACTAAAGCATTTTATTCAACACCTAAAAGAGTTATAGATCAATTAGTTAAATTTAGTCAATTTTGAGTTACTTTATTCCTTGAATTTGTATTGCTAATGTGATGACTTTACCAAGCAATGGCGCTAACTAATAGAATTTTTTTCTTCAAGTCTTTGATATTCTTCTTCAGTAATATAATTTCATAATATTTTTCACTCGCACAAAAACAAGGAAGGGTCCTCACGTTAAGTAAATATGGGAGGCCCAAGTGTCACAAAATAGTTCCTTATGATACGAGTGGTAAAAGGGACATTTTATATTGCGAGTAGGAAATGTGACACGACTCCGAATGACGCAATCCTACAAGAGAAATAAAACCTTTTTTACCACGTGTGTCATACACTATTTTTTAGACAGCCTTAATGACTTTCTCGTTATTTTAATTCAAGTATACAAATCATTTCATGGTACATTTAGGTCGATAGTAGCCGATGCGGTCAGATGAAAATATTTTGTTGTCTTTGTTGCATTTTGAGATTAATCTGTGCACTTGAATATCGTGATACTTTTAGCACGGTATGCATGCCCTGAAAGAATCCCTTTTACTAGTGGCTGTTTAAAAGTATATTTTTCAGACAGGCACTCGAAAAGAAGTTGCTTTTAGGGCAAGCAAATCGTGATAAACGTTCAATCTCTAACACTAATGATGAAAGTGAGACAATGATTGAATGTCCAGACAAAATAGTGTGAGCTTAATGTAACATAGAATAATTAAGTAATTTGTATATTTGAAATAAAATAAAAAGAAAGTCAGTAAGGCTGTCTAAATGTAATATATGATACATGTAAAAGCCATTTTTGTTTTTGCTCATATCAATAGGCCATCGGCCTCGGGTTGCAACTTTGCCTACCCGCAAAATAAAATTGTAAGTTTGGATAAAAAATACGATTGTGTAATGGCAATGACATTTCATTTATTATCCCCACTTCGTAGCAATCGAATCCTTAAAGACAGTCATCAGTAAGGGCTGAATTAATGTCTTGAAAACTAGTGTGGCCAAACATCTTAATTAAAATATTGAGCATGTATAATAAAAATTAATATGAAAATAAATTATAATCTTTGTCATTTAATATCATTTCAATGTACAATATGTATGAAAAAACATGGAATTTTTTACATCTTTATTGGGGGCATTTACCCAGTGGGGACCCAGAGGGCTTAACATATTAACCTACCCTTGATTATCAGACAATATCATTTTTATAAATGAGAATTCACCAATTCGTATATGTGAGAGTGTTATAATAACAAAGCGCATTTCAAGGATATGCACGTACATGTGTTTGCCCAGCCCGTGGTGCAAACTTCGGTACTTGTGCAAGTAATGAACTTATCTACTACACCAACTGGATGTTCCCCCATGCAACAAAAAGAGAGGAAAATGGACTATTGCAATTTTTCAAAATTCAGAGACTTTAATGAAAATCACACCTACGGCATAAGTTCATGCCTGCCAATACCATAAGCATTCAGTAAACCTTGCTTTGTTTCAGCAAAAATGTGATGAACAAAAGTGGATACGTTGAGAAAGTTTTGAAAATGTTTTAGGAGTTTCATGTAAAAGTACCCTCAAAAATTAAATGATTCGTTTAAAATTGAAGGGCCCACAACATCTGTCACATTGACCTGAGAATATACATTTTGGCGAAAATCCAATATTTTCCTTACAGGGAATAGTAATATATTGTTTACAGGTGCCAGACTACTTCACTTTTCCGGTCTCAGGGACTCATGAAACGAGTTTTCCTGTGAAAAATCAACACTTTTTTTTCTATACTATTACAAAATTATTTATATATCTTTTGACAAATTCACAAGCTTAAACGAATTTAGTATACTCTAAATACTATTTGCAATAAGAAAATCACAAATAACATAAAAAAATTATAAAAGACATTCTTCAAAGACACGAAAGAGAGATATTCACTTTTGTAACACGTTGCAGTTGTCGCTTAATGCGCAAAGTTTGACTTATAAGCTGACGAGTTAGACCACGAGGAAGCGAACCCGCGCTCGTCCAAGGCGGGAACGGTCCGTCCGTCTCGGAGGACGCCGCGCAGGCAGGCCCGGCGGCGCGACGGGGCCGCCGAGTTCGCGTGCCACGCGGTCCCCAGTCGGAACAGCTGATTGCGGCTCTCGCGTGCGCCCGTCGCGCCGGGGGAAACGCCAGCAAAGGGAAAGGGGGGCCGGGGGCGGGTGGGGCCACGTCGAAGCGCACGGCGCTCTGCCCTTCCCCGCCGCCCGCGCCCCGCCCCGCCCCCGCAGCCACCCGGCCAACTTTCCCACGACGCGCTCCAAATTACAGGGTCCGGCCGGAGAGACCGATGGCAGAAATTGCTTGAAGGCGTCACGGCGTTGAAGGAGGGGTGAAAATGTACAACTTTTTACTAATTGAAAATTATTTATGTTTGTTGTCACTTTTTTAATTGTGTACTTTTTTTCTGTTTGGATGGAACGTCAAAAAAGCACAATAATTAATTATTACATAAAATTGAAATTGTATCTCCTGGCTTTCTTTTAAATGAAATAAAGTTTGAAATTTGAATGTAACTTAGTGAATGTTCAAGTGCCCAGAATTTCTGTCTGCGTTTGGAGACTTCCTTAATTCTTTGTTTGATAATGGAAATTATCCCTCAATTAGTAGCGTGGCGACGTCGATATCCCAAGCTCTTTGAATTTCTTGTTTTTTCGAGCTGTTACTGCAATTGGGTTTGGATTTCTTTCTATAGCTTCCTAAACTGATTAATTATTTCACCTTCCCGGACTGGTCAAGAGCTATACTAGTCATTAATCCCGTAAGAGGCGTGCATGCTATGAAGATGAAGATGGTGGTGTTCCTCTTCCGCTTCAACATTTTACGCCTCAGCTTGAGAGGTTTTCCCCTCTCCAGGTATCTCGTCTAGCAGGGCACCACTCTATCAGGGACAAGCTGTAAGCTCCCAACTTATCTCCGATATGTGTGTAGTGCTTGTGTGTGTGTAAGACGATAAGGCAGATGAGGAAACTAGCGGTCCTTGACTCGTTTTTTCGAGGACTGCTCTAGCATTCGACAGGTATTGATCGGAGTAACCTAGGAACTCTACCGATCAGAGCATGTGGTTACTAGAATTGTCCTCCAGAGAAAACGAAATTTTTACCTAGATATGTAGCGCATGTTCTTTTATTTTAAATGTTTTCTGTTTTAATGTTTCTGTCTTAATCGTGGAGGAGAGTGACGTAGATTGAATGACATGTTAAAGCGTCAATAAATGTATGTACATACATTTAATATAATTGCAAGTACCGACGTTAATATAATTAATGAAATTAACTAGCTGTCACTTCAAATACGTTCACATTGTGCGACGATCATGGATATTTATTGAAGGGTTATTGTGAGAGTATTCATGAGTCTATAACGAGAGGACATTTAATGATTCACACGTTCGCTTGCTATTGTTCAGAGGACAAATGAATACGTCCCCTCGTCCGTATACTCTTCTCACTGCGATTTGGAAGCTTCAACAATAGACATGCAGCATTTCTTTTCATTCTAATGATAAAAAACGCCACTTGCATTCTGATGAATAATGTAATGAGTTTTCTTTCTCTCAAAATATAAATTAAACAAGCAATTTACTCTCATTCCTCGTATATGCGTATTTTCGGAAACAAGATTTTGTGCTTGGAAATACTATAAAAATGGATGAAATGTAAAATCTGAAAAATGTTAGAGAAAGTCATTAATGCGCAAAAAGCAACTTCAAAAAAGAATGTGTGAATTTATTACTACACTTTAGGATTGAAACAAATTGTAAAAATTTAGTGCAAGTCACCTGTGAATTTGTGCAAGTCACCTCACATCTACATACGAATGGACCATTATCTTCTCACAAAAGAAAATGACGAGTACTTAACGAAGATTCTTATTCATTAAATGCTAATACATCTTTATTTAAGGGGGTAGATATTAGTAATGAGAAAACCCAAATATTTGTTAACTTGTTTGATACTACTAGTTATTTTTAATGACTGCAGAACTTGAAAGAAAACTACTCAGCCTCCGGCCGTGTGATATATGTGTAGTAGTGTATAGATGTGTAGTAAATGTGTACAGATGTAAGGGTATATAAGGGGAGAATACTCGTAGGTCACGAAAGAGGGAGGAAAGATCGCACGCGGTCCGATACCCTTTTGTTATAATTCTGGAGAATCTGTAGAAAGCTGTCGATCGGAGCAGCCGGTTGCGAGATTTCTTCTCCAGGCCGGTTGCTGAATTCGGCCAGCTTTCTATCAAGGGTCGAAAATCCACCACTATTGAATTAAATTGAATTGAATTTGCCTTATTTTACGTGGCGAGACTCGGGCAATCAGGCCCGCTCTTCCGTCTCACCATGCAAATTTCGCTACGCTCCTTTCACCAACTAGGAGAGAAAGGCGGTATTTCTTGGGCGAGAAACAGGCGATTTGAATTTAGCTCAGAGGCGTCATTTAGGCTTGAGGATCTTTTACATGCAAGTAAATCTACGAACATGGGACAGCCGGCTTTACTTCCCCTCCGAAGGAAGGCGTA